TAGATTATTTTCTTGTGGCATAATCTGGCACAATATTTAGAGCATTCAAGAGCATGTTGAGCAAAATGAATGCATACAGAGTGTCTACACATAAATGTAAATGTATTCATAATCAAGAGCAGAATATTTTCTATGGCATTTATGAAAGCAAATGTCCTTATATAGGTATTACTATAAAATGATGAGAGTGTTTAAAACAAACAGGGACAATCTCATGTTTATATTCAAGATATTTTCAGTTGTATCATGGAACTTAAACTGTTCTTTAATCAAAAAGCAAAAGGAAATGACTGCACAAAATAATAGCAATGACATTTAAAAGACATTTTTAAGTGCCTGTAGTTTTTAATAAATATTTTTCCCTTCTAGTTTCACATGTTCACCATTTTAAGAAGCAGGAGAGAGAGAGAGAGAGAATTATCAGCTTCCTTGATATAAGGAACAATTATTATCACCTTAATGACTGTATCTCTGAGTATGTCTATAAATGTCACAAATCTTTCTTCCCAAATCTTCTTGGGTATTTTCTATCTTGAAGTTGAGAGCCTCCAGTATGATCCTCTAATTCAGTGATGGCGAACATTTTAGAGACCGAGTGCTCAAAACCTGGCCCTGCCTCCGCTCCACCCCCTGCCCTGCCCCGACTCTGCCCCCCATCCCCCACCCCACCTGCCCGCAGAGCCACTCACCACCTCCAGGGCCCGCCACAGATCGCCCAGGCAGCTCAGCAGCGCTATGGCGGTCACGCCCTCTGCCCGCGCCCTGCAGCATCAACTGTGCATGATGGGATGTGATGGCAGAGTCTTGTCTACGCTGCCTGGCTGCCATGTCCTTGGCTGCGCTGCTCTGGGTGGGCCATGCTCAGGGGCGACTCTCCTTCGGGGGGCTGCTGGAAAGGAGGGGGTCATGGGGGGAGGTGAGGCTGGGGCAATGGCCCCTGTGCCCACAGAGAGGGCTCCGAGTGCCACCTCTGGCACCCATGCCATAGGTTCGCCACCACTGCTTTAATTGTTGAGCTACAATTCTCATCAAGCCTGACCTGGCTGGAGATACACAAAGTTTATAGCTGCCCTAACTCTGCTCTTCCATCAACCCATTCCTTTCTCCAGACCTACATGGCAATTGATCTTAGGAATCTTTTCCTATTCTTCTTTGTACGAGAAAGTAGCACTGAACAGGCTGCAGGACCTTGAAAAATAGTTCTTGGACCTAAGAACTTTAGAGAATACCACATTTCCAAAGAGCTTTGGACTCTTGGGGCCTTAGTAAGAGTAAACTGGAAATTGATTCTGAATGATGAAATAGAAGGCAAGATCATTTCCAAAGACAAGAAAGTAGAACAGCTGAAGAAAAAAAAGGCTTTTGTTAGAAGACTCCCAAATTGCAGTTTGTCTATAGGAGTTGCAATAGTACAAGATCAATTGTGAAAGAGCTAAACTTTTAGGTAAGAGCTCTATGATATTTGCATATAAAACAAAATGACTGCTGACATCTTGAACATTTCTTTTATAACATGAATGTAATCCCCTAAATGAGTTCAAAACATTTTATTATTTTTTTTAATTGGAAAAAAAAGAACCAGTATGGCATAATGGTTAAAGATGTTGGACAAGAAAAGGGAAATCCAGATTTTAGCCCATCCTCAATCACAAAAGATTTTGGGTAACTTTGGGCCAGTCATTCTCTTTTAGTTCAGCTATCTCACAATGTTGCTGCTTTGAGAAAAATCAGAGAAGGAAATGCTATGTACAACACCTTGAGATCTTGAATGAAAAACAGGATGCAAATCTACATATTTTTTTTACTAATAATCAGGCTGGAATACCCAATTCACTAAAGTAAAATGGGACTTGCTTGTTCCCATTATGATTCTTATGTATTGAATTGCCAAACCTTTTCTGTCTCTGTGATCCAATTTGATTTGGGTCATAGAAGACTTGATTTTCCCCACACCTATTTTGAAAGAAACATTCAATTTATTCTTTTCCTTTAATGTGCTATATGAAAACTTAGCCAGTTTGACTTCCATCACAACAGATAAAAGAAAATATAGATATCACATACAGAAGCTATCATTTGCTCAGCTGTCACATTTATTACTTTCCCCAACTTACTGCTAACTTGATGAAGTATTCAGTACCAGGGGAAAGGTCTTCTATAGTATAGTTCTGAAAAAGATCTGTAGAGTTATAAATTGCATCCCAAACTATAGATTTTTTCTCTTTCTTGGCAATGTACAGGATATAGCTATATACCAGTCCATTTACTTCCTTTGGAATATCCCACCTGCAAAAAGAAGCAACACATAATTGTACAACAATTAAAGAGGGCAGTGAGGGAATATGTAATAATAATAATAATAATAAAGTTGGAAGGGACCTTGGAGGTCATCTAGTCCAACCCCCTACTCAGACAGGAAACCCTATACCATTTCGGACAAATGGCTGTCCAGTTTCTTCTCAAAAACTTCCAGTGCTGGAGCATTCACAGCTTCTGGAGGCAGGTTGTTCCACTGGTTAATTGTTCTAACTGTCAGGAAGTTTCTCCTTAGTTCCAGGTTGCCTCTCTCCTTGGTTAGTTTCCACCCGTTGCTTCTTGTCTTGCCTTCAGGCGCTTTGAAAAATAGCTTGACTTCCTCTTCTTTGTGGCAGCCCCTGAGATATTGGAACACTGCTATCATGTCCCCCCTCGTCCTTCTCTTTGTTAAACTAGACATACCCAATTCCAGCAACCATTCCTTATATGTTTTAGCCTCCAGTCCCCTAATCATCTTTGTTGCTCTTCTCTGTACTCTTTCTAGAATCTCAACATCTTTTTACTTATTTACTTAGAGCAGGGGTTTCCTCCCTGAGCAGGGGATTGGACTCGATGACCTCCAAGGTCCCTTCCAACTTTATTATTAATTCTAAACTTGGCCCTTTTATGACTTGTGGACTTCAACTCCCAGAATTCCTCAATCAGCGTGCCTGGCTGAGGAATTCTGGGAGTTGAAGTCTACAAGTCATAAAAGGGCCAAGTTTGAAGACCCCTGACCTAGAGAGTGAAAACTAATGTAGTCATCAAGCAACTTGGGGCAAGTATTGAAGAACAAATAAAGCAACATAGAAAACTTTTTAATACAAAATTTGTAGCAGGGTGCAAATTATTTTGATATTGCAGTTAGAGTGATAATATCTTGATCATACCACAAAGTCTTCTCCCTGTATTACTATTTGCACAGAGGCTATGACCATATGTAGGTTACACTGATTGCATAAAGACTAATGGAAATTAACTTGGCAAATGGTAATCAAAGATTTACAGAGCCACTATACTAATCACTTCTGTGCATTTAATCATAGTAAATGTATGTCACAGACCTTATTTGTGATTTAATTCACTAGAATTCTTGCATAAATTGATACTATATGTGTCACAGGTAGAAAAAGAACTTGGCGCTGTCATTCTTTAACCCTTTCTTATAGGGCTTGATTTCCAGACTCTTCATCATCTTGGCAGTCCTTTTTAAAACTTTTTAAAACTTGCTCAAATCTGCCACTGACCACTTAAACAATGGGACCCAGAACTAGACATAGTTAGCTGAAGTGCCCAGAATAAGAACTCAAAAGGAGAGCTATTATGTTTGCCAAGATTGTACCACTCCAGTGCTACTAAGTAAAAAGAACAAATTTTACTTAACTGTGCTTCTACTGTTCTAGAATCCAAAATTATCAGGACTGGCACATCCACGTGAACTGGGGGGAGATCCGTTGTAAGCACTGTGATCTGGGTACTGTTTTTGCAGCCAACCATTGTGCAAGCAGAGATTAAAAAGTGGTATGGTGTAAAAACTTTTAAATCTACAAAAAGGGGATAATAGACATGAATAGTCATTGTATGTAATAAAGCATTCTCAAATATTTATCTGCCATATTTCTGTACATTGTAAATGTCAATTAGTTACCACTCATATAAAAATAGCTCCTGAATTATAGTGAAAAATATAATATACAAAATGTAATCATACAAATTAATAACAAGAATATGTAGCTAAATTAATTTTTATATACTGATTTAGGATTTTGTGACTGGTATCTGTTGGGCAACATTGGGCTTCAGGTTTTAGTGACCATCATCTAGATCAGACATGTCAAACTCACGATGTCACGTGACGTCGCGCAACGTATCGGGACGGTTTTGTCATTGCCGGCAATGGGGTGGATGCGGCTTCCGGATGACGCGTCCGGCCCGCGGGCTGGCAGTTTGACACCCCTGATCTAGACAACAGATTTCCTGGCAATTTGGCTGGCAACTTCAGAGACATTGTGGTCTGCTAGTAACTAAGTAGAGACAGGGCTCCTGTCTTTTTGGCCCAGAATTCTGCTGCTAATTAGTCTTTAGACAAACTGGTTTCTATTTGATGCAGGTTGGTAGGGGTGGTCTCTCATTGGCTCTTTGTGCTTGATTCTGATTGGTTGCTTTGGTGGCATTGGCTCTTGATTGGTCCTTTGTTCATGTCAGCTTCCAATTGACCAATTAATTAGTCCCTACTCAATTGTCTGTAGACTCAGTAGTGTACTTTACACCATGGAAGACAATGCGCACCAGACTTTCTCTCCAGACTTTCAGACAGGGATTTTCCTCAGCATTGTTCGAAGATACTTAAGAAGAAATTTATCAATTTATAATTTTTGAAGGGTTGTGCACCACAACTGAGAGAGTGCAGGGTATAATTTGGTGATATAGGGACATTTGGAGGGTCAGAGATGAAATTTGTCATCTTTCCCCCCTAGGATGTTCAGGATGGGAATGGCAAACGAACCTTTCCTGCTCTACATTTAACATCTACCCTGCCCAGTCATCAATTGCTATTTTTCCAATCAGTTTTAGAGGTGATGATGACAGCTTTTAAAACTGGGAAAGAGTAGTTTTTTCTTAACAGTGTCTGACTCTTGTTTTTATTCATAATGCATTACAAAATTAATAACAATAACAAAAACAACAACTTGCTGCCACTTCAACTGCTCATTTTAAATAAAAGCAAGACTGAAATGAGATCTTTATTTTTAGATACCAAAGAAACAATGATTCCCCCCCCCCAGATATAACATGATAAATAAACACAAAAGTAGGAGACAGAGATGTTAACAAGTTTCAACAGCCTTGGTTGATTTCTACCAACAATGAACTACATGAACCACACATTTAAATCAAACCAACATCAATTACTTGCCACATCTGATCCAATTTATACTGCTTGTCGGAAATTGACCTACTCAAGTGCTTCATAATGGATCAATTGCTTCAACAGATGCAGGTAGAAACATAAATCTAAATCCTGGTCTCTCCCCTAAAACTCTAAGGTTACTGTTTGTCAAGCCCTCCTGATTATGGCTTCTTGTTTTCCATTTGCTTGATTGGATTATTTGCATAAGAGCAAATGTAGGCAGTTGTGGACATGAAAAACAGATCATTCTAAGACGCATTAGAAATGATTCAGCAAAAATTATCTGGAGTTGCCTTGAAAAGAAAGGCAACTCAGTATATGGAAGTCTCATGGATTCATGTCAAATAAACTACAATTTACTCTAAAGATCACAAGTTATATGCTATTTAACAATTGATTTTATGCCTTTCTTGCAGAAATTTCATTGATTTCAATTTACAAAGTGAACCAATAAACAGACAATGATTTCCTTTTAACTTTCTACAGAAATTGAATATTTTATTATGTTATTACTCACACCCACATTAGTAAATTAAAATCCAGTCATTGCCCTTTTTAATCTGTAAGGTATCATATTTATCAACAGCATAGCTCATTCTAGCTAAACTGTTTAATATGATGACATGTTTCAGCCTTTATTCCACACTAAAGATTTGGTTGTACACACTTTCTTTGCTATTTATTTCTTCACAACTATATCGATCACTAAGCTTGAAAAGTTTACATTTGCTTTAATGTTAAGATATAATGGATGCTACACATGGCAGTGAAGTGTGATGGTACTGGCCTAATTCAAAAAAGCATTGGTGACCTAGCTGTGAAGTTTTTAAGGAACTGCAAGCTGTTCTAAAATAGTTTCATTTCCAACACCTTTTCCTATCTTTACTGACAAAATGTTTTGAGCTAATAGTCATTGGATCTCCAGACCATTTAGGAATTTAAAAGTTAATGTTGCATTTCAAATTGGACCCAGAAATGAACTGGAACTGAAATCAGAAAGGACTGCCATAATATAAACACCTAGATAGTCCCTATCAACATCCCTCTGGCTTACCTTTGATCAGCTGATTTCTGGGCTGTTTTAGAGGTAGCATCACTACATATAATTTATGACAAAATGTAAACTCAAGCCTTTAAATCACCCCCAAACTCCAGACAGTTTGCATTAAGGAAACAATAAATATATTCATATTATAATAAATAACAAAACACCATAAGCAACTTTAATGGGTAAAAAAAAACTGTGCTAGATTTCTGTAAATGCTCTATAAGAAATGTGCTTGTGAAGTTATTTCTGACAGAAGTGTGAGGAATCTATGAATTTTAAGAGCAATAGATTCCAAAGGGAAGGGATTCCCACAGATAGTGGTTCTGTACTCATTCCTTCTCCTGTCGTTTCTATGCTGATTATACATGGTGGGGGACTCATAGCATCCCCTCACAGGCATAATCAATGGGAAGAGTAGACAATACATTTCAATAATGGCTAACTGAAGTATAAGGATTGTAGATTGCTATGGTTAAAACCTATATGATCATAATTAGTATTTCAATTTAAGATGATAAAAAAACTTTGCTCTATATGAGGGTTCTTAAAAATGTTGTACCCAAAAGAACATTTACAAACAATTTAGTGAATTAATCCACTGTCGTAATTTCTAAGGTGCCTTGTCTTCTCATTCAGATAAATAGACAAGGCACCCACCAACAGTATCTCCACCTTATCTAGTTTAAGTCTCAATTATATTTCTCTTCTTCAGCAATTAATATTGATAGAGAACATCTACTCCCTCACTTGAATTTGACAAAAATGAGAACTGTGTTATCTGTATTGGTGACAACTCTCCCCTCATCTCAAAACAAAACAAAAAAACCCCTCTTCTCCTAATAGTTTAAAATTGATCTGCACAGTTTAGGCAGTAAATGTGTAGGAGATGGCCAGGCTGAGCCCGAGGGAGGGGTCAAATGCATCATAAGTCACGAGTCCCTATATATTTGCAAGAGATCTAAGTCCAGCTCACTTTGAATGCCTTTCTTATCTCCCACTCATTTCCCTTGAACATTAGTTGATCAGATTCTTGTAGAGAGCTTAAGCTTGCAATAAATCTTTATACTCATTTGAACTGCCTGAATCTCCTGATTTCCCCAGAGTGTGACAAAATATAATAAAACAAATTTGCAAAAATAATGGGAATGTCAGTATTTTGAGATTGGTAAAATCAGCAGACAGGACTTAGAATATATTTTAATGTGGTTAGGATATTATAGCAAATTAATCTTGAAATCATATCAAAGTTCACCTCCAATTCATTTTACCTAACATAATCAAGCAGTTATTTTGAGATGATTTCTGCTGCTTTTTAATTTCCCAAGACTTCAGATATCTTTTCTGTAATAACCAAGCATTTTCTTCCTTCTTCTGTGATTGAAACCCACATTTCATCAAGCCATCACCACCATCAGAATCACTCCCTTCTATTTGTGAAGATAGGCCTGGTAGCTAAATAAGTCTGAAACTTTTACACAAAGCTTCCCTTCTCTTGTTGCCCAACAAGATAAATTGTAAAGACAATATGGCAGGAAACAAGGAGTCTTTTTCCTGATGATCACTGTCTATTGAGTTTGGAGGAAATGGTGCTTGTGTGAGTTTTTCCTATGGAAAACATTTACAAACAATTAATCTATTTAATTAAGCCACATGATGGATAAGTGTGATTTCTGGGGAAGAAATGGAGGACTGAAAACGAACTCCACAAAAAGTAGAGCTGATGACCATGGTGGAATGAAGAGCCAGATCTTTGATAATTCCTCTCTGGACAAGGAGGGGATTTGAGATCACTGATGAGTGCTCCAGACAGCTGCTTCTCAATGGAAAACTTTATAATAGTGGTGTCCACTGGGTTTAGAGCTCCAGGAGATAAGGGAATAAGCTTTGAAAAGATGCTAAGTTCACATATTTGCTTTTCTAATCACTTACACAAATAGCTTGTTAAGTTTTCTTTTTTTATTAAAAAAAATAAGAATGTCAATGTGGAAAAGGAAAAAAAAAGCAAATTAATTCTTTCTTCACATTGTTCTCTAGGAACTCCTTTAAAGCTAACTTTTAAAAACATATGGAATATTGCCCGTTAGCTGGGGTCTCAGATCTAAATAGTAAATTGATGATATGTTACAAGTCAAAGAAGAAGTTATGGTAGCTGCTTCTTCTTCCCTAAAACATCAACAAAATCTGCATACTTTTCTGGCAAAAAATGAAGTTCAGAGAACAGTGTGAGAAGGAGAAAATGAAAAGGGTCAAATGCCTACAAACAGTGTCATTGACATTTTGGAGAGGAAAAGAAACTGCTTATTGTTTCCAGTGAATATTAGAATTACTGTGTTTCCCTGAAAATAAGACCTACCCCAAAATAAACCCTAGCTTGATTTTTTCGGGGACTAATATAAGCCCTACTCCAAAAATAAGCCCTAGCTTTAGGTCGAGGCGCATGCCTAAAAATTAAGCTAGGGCAAGAGTGGGGGGGGGGTAGAGCTACGCCAGGTGCCCCGCACCTGCTTATTGTTGTAGCCAGACCTCCTACACCCCAACACCTGCCTCTCCTCCCCTGTCCACATCTTCTGCGGCTGCTCGCCACC